GCAAATGTCTAGAGAAACGTCAAATATCTTTGTAAAATTCACTTCCGGTCGCGCGTTTAAGTGTCCGCAAAATGAGAATTTGTCCGAATGAGATCTCAGAAACTGTATGAGATTTAGACACCAAACTTATAGGAGTATTAGACCTTGAAGAGTAGACAAAACCATTTGGGTAAAGAGCGTCAGTCGTCACTTCCGTTCGTCACAGGAAGTGATCAAAGAAATAAAAATTTTCAACTTTTCTCTTTTGGAGTAAGACTCGCATCATATAATTGTATCTTTTTCACAGTTACGATATGTGTTGGTCCCACCGGAAACAAAAAATGACAACTTCCGGTTATAAGAGAAAAACTACATAATAGGGTTTTTTAATTTTCCCATACATATCGCTTATAGAAAGAGTTCTTTAAATGTTTTTTATATATGTTATTGAGACTGCAGATGTCTAGAGTGACGTGAAATATCTTAGTAAAATTCAATTCCGGTCGCGTGTTTTCTTGTCCTCAAAATGAAAAGTTATTTCAGCGAGATCTCGGAAACGGCATGAAAGTAAGACACCAGACTTATAGGAGTAATAAAACTCGGTGAGAAATCAAAGCACATAGGGTTAAAAGCGTCAGCCGTCGCTTCCGGTCGTCACAGGAAGTGATCGAAGAAATCGAAAATTTCAACTTTTCTTTTTAAAATTAAAACTTTCATCACTTTATTGCTTCCCTTTTGCTGCTTTGAAATATGTTAGATTCCAAGGGGAAAAAACTTTAAACTTCCGGTTTCAAGAGATAAACTACCTTATTTCGTGGTTTAACTTTCTCATAAATATCACTTATATATCAGTATTTGAAATGATTTTTACATATGCTGTAGATACTGCAAAAGTCAAGAGAAAATTCAGAGATTTTTATTCAGTTCACTTCCGGTCGTTTGTTTTCCTGTCCTCAAAATTAGAATTTGTTCTCACAATTGTTCGGCAACAGTAATAGACTGAAGTCTAAAACTTTCAGGACTTATAGTCAGTCATCAGTTCATTTGCTTCGTGTAAAAATCGTGTGTCGTCATTACTTCCAGTCGTGACAGGAAACGAAGCAAAAAAGTATTGTTTAAGTTATTTTGTTTCTACGTAAGTTTTAGGCTAATACCGACGTTGGAAAAGACATGTTCATGCAAACAGGAAGTAGTATAACGGAAGACCTTCTCATTACTAGTAATGAGTTTCTAGTTATGTTTATTTTTACTTCACCCTATAGTCCTTTTTAAAGGTGCTTGGATACAGATTTGAAGTTAATATTTTCGCAAATTTTCTGTATAACTTCATGACTTATGGGTGAATTCAAAAAAAATGACCAAATGCATATTTATCAACCCACACTAAAAATACAGGCAATGAAAATAGATTTCTATGTCTCAGCATATGTCTTTAGATAGTGTCTAAATACCTGCCAAATATCTCGTTGATATCTCAATTAACAAAAAAGTTATGCCCAAAAATGATGCTAAAATTGTCAGGAGTGCAACACCTTTTTGTGACATTTTGAAATTTCAATATTTTTTGGAGATTTGTGAAATAAAAAATAATGCTTCATGTTGAAAATAAAGACTTTCCTGATAATATTCAAAGTATTGAGCTTTAAATGTGGACTGTCATAACTTTTGTTTAATCAAGTTTTGGTAATGGCTGATGTTTAAAAAAATGTTATACCATGTCAGGAGTGCAACAGAAAAAATGTAGTGTTGCCAAAAAAACATCAATTGTAAAATTCTGATAGAAAATTAAGACAAAAAAGAATTTTGGAAGTGTAAAATAATAACTGATATACATTTTAAAACTTAAAAATGTTATATAAATCACAAGCAGCATTAATGAGAGTCAAGTATATGTGCATACCCCAAAATGTCAGGAGTGCAACATTTGATGTTTTGCTCCCAAGCATGAAAAAACTATTATCATTATATGATTTTCTGATTTTTATTTTGGAAAATAAAGACACAAAGAACATTTTTACCAAATAGATTTATCAATTACAGGATCTGTCTGTGCTTCAGATCCATATTTCTATGGTCAGGAGTGCAACACATTTTTTAAAAGATTCAAGTTGTGTGACGAAAAGACCTCTATTCATGCTTAGAAGTATTCATTAATTAATAAGGATCGTTTTGTATAATTTAATGCTAAATTATTGACAGTTTTATTATTAAAATCCTTCCTTTTTCCATTTTATCAATTCAGATGTGTTTTTATCTTTTTGTGATTTTTTTAATGAACCTTAAAAATAAACACACTAAAACATTGTCATAAAATTCAAGTAATTCCTCCTCAACTTCACTGAAACAACAGAACAAGTTCTTATGTAATTTTCACTTCACAATTCTACTTTAAAGGCCCCAATGCTTTTGGTCAGGAGTGCAACAAATATGTTAGAATTATAAATCATCCACTAAGAATAAAAATAAAGAAAAAATGATGAGTAGAATTTCTCTGGTGGGTTACTGTGTTTGTCTTCTAAAGGAAAATATGCTTTAAAATATATTTTATCTTCTAAATATACATTTAAGCTAGTTTTTGGGCATAAAATAGGGTATAATTCCAGATAAAATGCGAATTTTAAATACTTTCATCTGTTTTAATTATGAAGTATTGGACTATAAGTATTGCACAATTTCATTACCACTTGATGTTGCCAACACTTTATGAATTTTTGTGTTCTATGGTTTTAATTTTAAACTTTACTGCAGTCAGGAGTGCAACAAAACTGCTTCATAATTACCGATGCTTTTTAACTATCTTTACTAAAAAATAAGTTGAAAAAAAAATGCTTGATACTATTTGATGTTCAAAACACTATGTCTATCAACAGATTACAGAAATTTTACAGTCAATTCAGGGAATAGTTTTCATCATTTCACATATATTTTAAATACATTTTATATATATTACACTTTGCAAATAATCATGTTTTAAGGTCTTCAACATATGAAAAACCTGCTGTAAACGATGAAAAATATCGACACGGCAAATTGATTTACAAAGTAAGAATGGGTTATTGTGTGTTATAATTTTTAAAACAATGTTAAATAAAATACATATCAGATGTCAGGAGTGCAACACAATAATGTAACATAGGGTCCCTTCAAAATCTAGTATTTTTTGTAAGAGAACTCGTATAAAACAATTCTTTTTTGGCTTTGATTTAAAGAATTGACTTGAATGGACAAAAAAAGTGAATTTTGGGGAATTTTATTGCTTCATATTTTTTTCATATTAAAACTTTTCAAACCAGAATTAAAAAAATAATGTAAAATAACAATCAAAAAGCCAATTTTTTGTCACATGTACAAGAGAAGATACTCATTCAAGGTCTAGATTTAATCATTTATACCCCTTTTAGCATTTTGAAGCATAAAAAACTATAATTTCTTGTGATTATGTATTTTAGAAAGTCTTTTAAGGTGTAATGATATTTTCTTTTTTCAAAAGAAATTTTTCTAATAAAAATTCTGAAACTTTTTAATCCAATTGTCTATTCTATTGCCACTTCAGGATTTTAAACTAGAATGCATTTGCAATATGATGATATAAGTGAAAAATATGTTACAAGTAGTTGAATTTTGCCAAAAAAAATCAGTTTGGTGGTCATTTTTTTTGAATTCACCCTTATATGTTGCTAAAGCATTTCATACTAAAATGTAATAAAAATCTTATTTCATTTCGAAGTTATTAAAACTTTGAATTTCTGGACGCGTTGGATTGACACATCCTTGCGCTTTCACATATTTTAATTTTATTCTTAATACTTAAGAAAAGTGGCAATTTTGTTGTGTATTAATGAAAAATATTAAAACTATAACTCAGAAAATTCAGAGTAGAAATGTTCGAAAGCAAAACCCACTCACAGCATTGTAAGTCCCTGCTCAGTGGTGTGTGCAGAGTTTAACAATTGCACACACCCGGTGAATCGTAAACATTAACAATAACAGAGCTCGTGCCCCGTTTACAAAAACAGTTTACGTTCCACGGGTGTGTTCAATTTGTTAAACTTTGTACACATCACAGAGCACGGACTGACAATACTGATGAGTTGGTTTTGCTTTCGAACATTTCTACTCTGAATTTTCTGGATTATAGATGTAATATTTTTCATTAATACATAACAAAATCGCTTCTTTTCTTAAATATTAATGATAAAGTTAAAATTTGTGTAAGTGCAAAGATGTGTTAATCAAACGCGTCCCGGAATTCGTAGTTCCAATAATTTCCAGATAAAATAGGTGTTTAATGATATTTTCGTGTGAAATGCTATTGCAATATAAAAGTCGTGATATTATACAGAAAATTTGAGGAAATATTATGTTCAAATCTGTGTCTAAGCACCTTTAAAACAGAATCTTTGACTTCATGCTTCAAAATAAGACATTTTTCATTTTCATTTCAAATTCCTTTTCGGAACCCCTTTGCTCGTTTAAATGTAGCAGTTTTGGGGTATCTTGTGGGGATTTTATCTACTGAAATCTCAATAAAATTGAATAATTAAATAATGCAACTGTGAATACAATGACTGATTCCCTCTTTGGTTACGTTCGTTCATAAGATGTCGGTATTTCTCTAATGCGCACTTTCAACTTCCATCTGATACATTTAATCCATTGTGACAAAGTGTCATGATCTTCTCTTTCATATTTAGCCCATCATCTGGCGTAATCTTCTACTAAATTCATTATATTAATGATATTATGACGCCAGTTGAAAGATTTGGGTTCCCTGAACTTTGGCCTTATAATAAGTGATTTAATGTCCTCATTATAAACTATATTTACATCACCAGTAATGTCGTGTCCAGCAGGACTATAGATGACTAAGATGTACGGTGAAGAATAACATAAACGTGTTGGTGGATTGTGTTCCAGATGCTCGATATCTAAGCACTGTAGAGTTTTTTTTTTAAATAAAAAAGTGATAATGCTAGGTCCCATGAGTACTTTCTAGGAAAAAGAAATAATACTCTACTCACGAAGACTTTGAAAATGGCTGATAAGAAAGTTCGATTCATCATTAGTCCTAGGTTCCGCCAACTTGGTATGAAATCCTGCACATATAGCCTAAATAGGTTTCAGCAGAAAAATACATTGTCAGAATAAATAAACCCCCTGTAAGACTGAAATTTCAGTTTTACAAAGTCTCATTATTACATGTACATGATGAATCAGAACTTAACCTACGAAGCACACTGTAAAGCATAAACCAATACAACTAAATGACTTTAACACTTTGTTCGTATAGCTTAGTAAATATTTGTTTGCATACCTCAGCTTCCCCCCATGGTCTAGCAGTATGGCTGAACCAATAGCATTTATTCTGAAACTGATTCCAACCCGGCTGGCAATCTAGGCCTGAAATATTTTTTATAAATTCAAAATAATAAAAGGCATTTCAGCTCAATCGTCGATTCTTCAGTATTCATCCCTTTTCTTCAGTATATTCATTACCTTTTAAATCAAATTATTAAACTTATAGATTTATAAAATTGCATGCATATACAGTTGAACTTCGGTATCTCGAAAACGGATATCTCGAATACCATGGATTTATCGAAGTGATTTTGAAGTCCAAACTGCTTATTCCTTAAGTATTTTACCCCTGGATATCTCGAATCTTTGGTTATCTCGAAGTATTTTCTTGGTCCCTTTGAGTTCGAGATAACGAGTTTATTTCTACAAATGAAGGTTGTAAGTTGTTCAGGACAAGCTACAAACAAAACAATAGGCCCATAGGCCACAGCATTAACTGAGTCACTTTGGCCCTACTGTTCTCCACCAATATACGATATTCCTATGTAAAAGTTTGATCGCATTTTGTAGCCACACCCTATATGAATCTCAGGGCTTTCAAAACATTAGGAACAGGTGATACTTTAACAAAATTAGGAGGAACTTCTTGTTGAAGCAATTTTAATTAAATATGATATTGACTTTTTCTCCAACAAATATTTTGGCAGGTACATGTACAATAATGATTTCAGCCGGGTAAAAGTACCAGGTACCGGCAAATTTTTAAAGCTAGGCCTATGAATCTACAATACCAGAGGATTTTTTCAGCTATATACATGTAAATGAAACGAAATTCAAAATCGATATGATTTATCCCATTCTGTCCTCTAGAAGCTCAGTGATAGAGACTTCCTGCATGTTAAGTTCACCCGTTCACCCTATCGATGCTCAGAGATCACGTGATACTTAAGGGTATATAAGTAGCGATATTAGAGCACATTGTCAGTTCCAGACTGAAGTTGAGAGAAGTCAGTTGGTTTTAAACTAAGGCGAGGAACCTAAACTTGCTTAACAAGTCTTATGTGTCTGTATAGGGCTTTCGAGACTTTGTTGTATTTTTCTGCAAGTTGGCAAATATTTTTGTTTGCTTAGCTAGGAAGCTAGGACAGAATTGGTCATTGTGAATATTGTTAATTAAAATCCTTGATTGAGAAGTTTAAATAATTATTTGGTTTATTCCTTTAATTGCTCAGGCAGAGCAACCGAATCCTCGAACTCGGAAACATTACATAAATTTGGTGGCAGCTGTGGGATTCGGTAAGGAATATTTTCTATCATCAGTTTTTAAATCATATCTGCAATCATTATGGACGAAACGATAGACGAGGAAATTTCATTCCTGGAGAAGAGCTGCGAGCAACTGCGCAAAGAATTAGGGAGGTATTCTACCCCTCTAGATAAACGTGCGCGAGCGCGCGATTCGGGAATTGCGACTATGGTAGCTGCGAGTGGAGGCCAGTTTATTCAAAATCATCTACAACAGATGAAACGGTGATACAAGAGAAGAATGATAAAAGTGGCCGTTCCATCGAGGAGAGTACAAACACTAATCATGTTACAATGGGTCTTTTTGGCCCTGTGAAATTTTGAAATATCAAAACAGCCCAGTTAGTTGAAAATACATTTAAATCTTACTTGGACATTGGTGACTGCATATTTATTAAAAATGACGAAATTTTCTTGCTAGTCTATGTATTATGACGTCATAAATTGCTTCATTATTTAAAATCGTGAATATTTCTTCAAAAATGGTCTGAAGTTTAAGCTGTTTTTTCAATATTTTGCATAGCGCCCAACCTCTGATCTAAAGTGTGCAAATATATAATGAAAGAACTATTTCTAGAGAATACAAAATACGTTTTATCTTCTGGATCGAGGGGTGGGCTCATAGTTTAGTTCTTTGCTGAAGGTATATTGTACAAGTCCACCTGTTTTATGCAAAATTTAGGGACATTGTAATTTTGTACAGCCTGTTCTCCAATATCTAGACTCTCAGAGGAATTTTTATAGGAAAAGACAGCACTAAGTGTCTACTTTATATTGATTTTAGGATATAGTGTCTTATTCATTTAATTGGTATACGGACAGGGCCGTTTTATGCATAAAAAGAGCCGAGCTTTTTTTGGTAGTGCTTATCCTTTTTCCATAAATTTCCATGACTTCATATATACTTTGATATACTTGTTGCATTTTGAAAGGAAAAACATTTGAGTGCAATTTTAAAAGGCCTAATTCACTTGTTTTGCCCTGCTGTAGGATACAAATTACGTCAAGGAATTATAATTACGTATTTCACGTATTTAATTCCTGATAAATAATTTTCCATCCAATATCAAGAGAGGTAAATGCAGGTACATAGGAATCGTACACCAGTGTTTTTATTTCTTACATTGTAAAGTTAAATAAACCAAGTATACAGAATGTTCGATTTCATTGAGGAATGTTGGCTCTATCCCATTTTTCTCACATTTGACTACAAATCTATTTGGAAATTAAGTCGAGGAACTTTTTAATATCTTTCAACCTTTCAGGATTTCTGATCTAGCAGTAACATTTTATATTCACGAATTCATCTACGGTAACAGGAACCGTTACAGATGTTCCCTTAACTATTCCCCCTACTCCTTTGTTCCCCATTCTTTACAGAAGCTTCCTGAAATTTCTTTATGTATATCTACACCTTATTTTCAAAGTGTATTTACGGATAATAAAAAAGAAAAGTTTGAGTATTAGCAAATTAGCAAGATGCTTGTTTTCAAGAATACATATATCACTTTTCAGTATCTCAAATACATGTCCACATTTTAAATTTCAGAAAGTTTACAGATACAGCAAGCAACATTTTAACAAATAAGAATTCAGCACATGTGCATGCACGTCTTCGTATTCCTTTTAAAGATATCATAATGCAAGGACTCATATTTACAGGCACTCTGAATTTTGTTTTGCTTTGCTGAAAACTGAGAAAGTACATGTAACAATTTTTAATTTAAGGTAATCAGATTTCATTGTACGTGCATCCACGCGTTTTCCTAGATTTTCTCATGTATTCCATTATAGTATTTCATAATATACATATCCATCTGTTAAATTTCAAAGTAAGAAAGAGAGGTGCGGCCACTAAAGTATTAGCCAATCAGAATTCAGCATAAGCATATATTTGCATTAGATAGTATTATAACGTTGGAACACCTGATACCTATCTATATTCTAGATTTTGTTCTGTTTTGTTGAAAACTATAACCAATTGCAGTTTTAGCCAATCAAATTGGAGAACAAATGCAAATTTCCGTTTGGTAAGGTAAACGATTTATATATTTTATATATTTCGTATATCAAACAAGCATTCTGAAAGAATTGCATTAGCAATACTAGTCCCCTACCGGCAAGTGTAATCTGGTTCCCGTTAAAAATTGAAAATGCCATAATTCCGTCAAAAATCAATGAAGTGGAATTAAATGCAAACTTGATCTATAACTCATCAAGGTAAAGTCACATATCAAAAATCAGCTCAATATCTGAAAGCATTCAGAAAAAAATTGCGGAAAACCCTGAAAAATTGAAAAGGTCGCAATTCCGTCAAAAATCAGTGAAGCAGAAAGAAATGCAAACTTGATCTGTAACTCATCAAGATACACTCACAAACCAAAAATTAGCTCAATATATGCAAGCGTTTAGAAAAAAAAAAAATGCGGAAAACCAAGTGGGACAGACAGACAGACAGACGGACAGACTCAGAGGAAACCGGTTTCACCAGTAGGGGACTAATAAAAACAGCATTCTGCCTTTTGGCTGAAAAATGTTTCATGGTTTTTCCTGATAAATACTGAAGTTTTATGAGTTTGAAGCGAGCCACCGTGGAATTAATGGTGGTTCTTTTCCCCTATTATACTATACATGTATACCAGTTTTGTCTCAAGATCAAGTGATCTAAGAAGGAGCGCTAAATCTTGAAGCTCTATATCGAAAAAAAAATTACGTTTAAGTAATGAACTTTGCATATAATATAATTTTGAACCCTTTAAAAAAATATTTGATGTCATATTTAATTACAAACAGAAAATTCAAAAACTGTGTAACTTCTAAGCATGGAAAAATGCAAAGTAGTTCCCATCATAGGAATTAATTTAATAAATCTCCGTAAACCTTTGCTTTATCCATCGTCTTATATCAAGCATTCTTCGAAATAAAATGAGAATAGAGTAAACAATGGTGTATTTTAGTTTTTTAAACTAAACGATTTTACTCACAATCTGCACTTCCAAGACCACAAAGTACAATCAATAGAGCACTAATGAATTGCATGGTGAACAGCTGTAGAAAACTAAAACGTACAGAGCAAAATTATCTAAGTAAAATATGATAAGGTAAAAGTGTTAGGACAAATGTAATGAGAGTTCGAAAGTGATAAGAAAGAAATGCTGGTCTTCTAACTGTGTCCTCATACCTATTAATTAATTGTAATAAATGTACTGACCTTAAATAAAGATTATTTATTCTAATGATGCTTCTTAACGAATGTTACTAAGCTAAACTACTAAAAATTACTAATTTGTATTTTTCTCCTCTTTTTTTTAAATTGCACTATCCTTTTTGTGCGCTTTTCCTTTTGCAAAAACAACAAGCATTCTGAGAGTATTACATTAGCAATACTAGTCTCCTACCGGCAAGTGTAATCTGGTTCCCGTTAAAAATTGAAAATGCCATAATTCCGTCAAAAATCAAGGAAGCTGAACGAAATGCAAACTTGATCTATAACTCATCACGGTAAAGTCACATATCAAAAATCAGCTCAATATCTGCAAGCGTTTATAAGAGAAAATTGCGGAAAACCCTGAAAAATTGAAAAGGTCGTAATTCCTTCAAAATTCATCGAAACGGAACGAAATACAAACTTGATCTCTAACTCATCAAGATACACTCACATACCAAAAATCAGCTCAATATTTGCAAGCGTTTAGGAAAAAAGTGCGGAAAACCCTGAAAAATTGAAAAGGTCGCAATTCCGTCAAAAATCAGTGAAGCAGAAAGAAATGCAAACTTGATCTGTAACTCATCAAGATACACTCACAAACCAAAAATTAGCTCAATATATGCAAGCGTTTAGAAAAAAAAAAATGCGGAAAACCAAGTGGGACAGACAGACAGACAGACGGACAGACTCAGAGGAAACCGGTTTCACCAGTAGGGGACTAATAAAAACAGCATTCTGCCTTTTGGCTGAAAAATGTTTCATGGTTTTTCCTGATAAATACTGAAGTTTTATGAGTTTGAAGCGAGCCACCGTGGAATTAATGGTGGTTCTTTTCCCCTATTATACTATACATGTATACCAGTTTTGTCTCAAGATCAAGTGATCTAAGAAGGAGCGCTAAATCTTGAAGCTCTATATCGAAAAAAAAATTACGTTTAAGTAATGAACTTTGCATATAATATAATTTTGAACCCTTTAAAAAAATATTTGATGTCATATTTAATTACAAACAGAAAATTCAAAAACTGTGTAACTTCTAAGCATGGAAAAATGCAAAGTAGTTCCCATCATAGGAATTAATTTAATAAATCTCCGTAAACCTTTGCTTTATCCATCGTCTTATATCAAGCATTCTTCGAAATAAAATGAGAATAGAGTAAACAATGGTGTATTTTAGTTTTTTAAACTAAACGATTTTACTCACAATCTGCACTTCCAAGACCACAAAGTACAATCAATAGAGCACTAATGAATTGCATGGTGAACAGCTGTAGAAAACTAAAACGTACAGAGCAAAATTATCTAAGTAAAATATGATAAGGTAAAAGTGTTAGGACAAATGTAATGAGAGTTCGAAAGTGATAAGAAAGAAATGCTGGTCTTCTAACTGTGTCCTCATACCTATTAATTAATTGTAATAAATGTACTGACCTTAAATAAAGATTATTTATTCTAATGATGCTTCTTAACGAATGTTACTAAGCTAAACTACTAAAAATTACTAATTTGTATTTTTCTCCTCTTTTTTTTAAATTGCACTATCCTTTTTGTGCGCTTTTCCTTTTGCAAAAACAACAAGCATTCTGAGAGTATTACATTAGCAATACTAGTCTCCTACCGGCAAGTGTAATCTGGTTCCCGTTAAAAATTGAAAATGCCATAATTCCGTCAAAAATCAAGGAAGCTGAACGAAATGCAAACTTGATCTATAACTCATCACGGTAAAGTCACATATCAAAAATCAGCTCATTATCTGCAAGCGTTTATAAGAGAAAATTGCGGAAAACCCTGAAAAATTGAAAAGGTCGTAATTCCTTCAAAATTCATCGAAACGGAACGAAATACAAACTTGATCTCTAACTCATCAAGATACACTCACATACCAAAAATCAGCTCAATATTTGCAAGCGTTTAGGAAAAAAGTGCGGAAAACCAAGTTGGACAGACTGACAGACAGATAGACAGAGGGACAGACGGACAGACAGGCAGACAGACAGACGGACAGACAGACTCAAAGGAAACCTATAGTCCCTTCCGGATTCACCGATAGGGGACTAATATCATTAATTACCATTTCTGGAGTCTTTTGTAAGTTATCGTTACATCACGGAAGCGTATAGTTGTCTACCCTTGTGTTATAATTTGTACGCAACTTCTTATTTTTAGGCGTCTTGTCAACAAATAATGTGTAAAAATTGCTTTATGCACTTATTTTGCATTGTGCATGTTTTTACCTGATTAAAAGCACCCTATTTTACTCGATTGATTTTTATTAGTCCACTACCGGTGAAACCGGAGGGGACTATAGGTTTCCTCTGAGTCTGTCCATCCGTCTGTTTGTCTGTCTGTCTGTCTAGCTGTCCCTCTGTCTGTCTGTCAGTCTGTCCCACTTGGTTTTCCGCACTTTTTTTCTAAACGCTTGCAGGTATTGAGCTGATTTTGGTATGTGAGTGCATCTTGATGAGTTACAGGTCAAGTTTGCATTTCGTTTCGCTTCAATGATTTTTGACAGAATTACGACCTTTTCAATTTTTCAGGGTTTTCCGCAATTTTTTTTCTGAACGCTTGCAGAAATCGAGCTGATTTTGGGTTATGTGACTTTACCTTAATGAGTTTTAGATCATATTTGCATTTCGTTCCATTTCATTGATTTTTGACGGAATTATGGTATTTTCAATTTTTAACGGGAACCAGATTACACTTGCCAGATAGGGGACTAGTATTGCTAATGTAATACTCTCAGAATGCTTTTTGATATAAGTAATATCACATAAAAATATATGTTAAGGATTGGATTTAAAGATATCGACATGCAACAATAAAAATATATGCATAGTTCTTATATCGATATAATTTAATTATGATTGTAACGCGCCAATTGATTGGATAAAAAAATTACTTTATATCGTATAAATTGAGTTGCTTACGTCACAATGACTTGCGTTAAAAACGTATCGATCCGCCTGACGTTACATTTAATTTTTTACAATTTGAAGTCATTTTTTAAGGGCATTCATCTTTTTTCTTATATTAAATGAATGAAAATTAAATTATAGGGAATTAAATTAATAGCTACCCAATCTATACGGTATAAACTGGGTTGGGACAGTTTACGCTTTTTTATAAACCGCTTCGCGGTTATAAAGCGTAAACTGCCCCAACCCACTTTATACTGTATAAATTGGGTAGCTATTAAATTCATTCCTTAAATGAATATGCTACTTTTTCCAAGGAATGTGTCAAAAATATTGTTCTCGAACTAACCTCGCGGGCGCGGGAAATCTATTGAAGTGTCACATCACTCGTGATGAAGTGGCGGCACATGTACATTTTGCCATCATGTGTAAATTATCAAATATATGCTTTGTACTGCCACACAAATTAATATGGGAAGTTGAGATATAAAAGTTGAAGTCATCACGTTTATCAGAAAGTTAAGTTGTTTAGTTTTCCTTCTGTGCCTTTCTCTAGTTTTTGTTTGTTTGTTGTTTAACGTACCTCTCGAGATTTTTTCACTCATGTGGAGACGCCACCACTTGCCGGAGGAGGGCTGCGACTCTAGAGCAAACGCTCTAACCACAGCGCCACGTGGGCGACTCCTTTCTCTAGTAAAATATCCACAGTTGATTCTAGTAAACGTTGTAATACTGCTGATACAACAAAACAAGCCATTCGAACATAACCACGTGACTGCTATGATCCACATATTCAACGGTTGAATAGTTTAACAATGGAAGTTCTAAATGAGGCTAGATTGCACCATCTATCATGGAGAAGTCATTAAAATGAATGCAGAACATATTTATGAAAATACGGGAATAGTACCGATATATTCCGGAGAGAATACGAAAAATAGATGTGATAATGAAAGTTTGATTTAGAAACCTAGAACAAGTAATTTAATATCAATTGTAAACGAAATGCATCATATATAAAGTTGGCCTGTTAAAATTTACGCACATCAATTTTTATAGATATGGCAAAAACAAGAATACGATGCCGACCAGTTGAAGCAGCGGCTTTGTAAACAGAAACCGCGTAACTCCTTTTAACTGTACAACCTCTGCTCAAGATCGGGGGAAAAGTTTTTTGATTGATAATATTTAAGTTGTTTTTGGAAATCAGGTCTTTCAACAATCTGTCGGAACTCCCATAGGTACCAACTTCGCCCCGGTATTAGCAGACCTTATTTTGTATTCACATGAAGCAGAATTTGTTCAAACACTTGTACACTAGAAGAAGACACTTGCAATGGCCTTCAACTCGACATATAGATATATCGACGACGTATTATAAATTAACAATACATGTAGCTACTTCCATTCATATGTCTAGTCAATATATCCAAGTGAACTTGAAATAAATGATAAAACAGAGTCTGATACATCTGTTTTATATTTGGATATCTTACTAGAAAAAGTCGTTAATGGTAACCTAAAAACAAAACTTTGTGATAAACGCGATGACTTCAACTTTTCTATCATCAACTTCTTTTACTTATGTAGCAATATACCCTTATCACCTGCATACGGGGTTTATATCTACCAGTTGATTCGATACACAAGAGCATGGTGCTCTACCTACGAACAATTTCTAAGACGGGGCAAGCTGTTGGCAAACAGAATGGTGAGGCAAGGATATCCACAGTCTCGTTTAAAATCATCATTTCGCAAGTTTTATGGTCGATACAATGACCTTGTTAGCAAATACACCCTATTATTGAGTCGAACTTAATGATAGGCTGACTGACGTTTTTCATACTAATTGATAAGCCATTATTTAAACACTGAATTGACTCTGAATTCTTCCGTTGTTCCGATCACGACAATGA